GTTAATGAGCTCCTAAATGTGTGGAGCATACCCACAACTCCTCTTCTGATCAGCAGCAGTCATCTTGATTGTCTCAACAATCAGGCTCATGACCTTGAACTTCTGTGGGACATCAAATATGTGTAGCACGTTTATAGCATGTCCTCTGATCATCTTGTGATCACCTGACTTGGGTAGTGGTGTGTGCTTTGATATCCAGTTTATGGTAGGCATACCAGACAACAGGTAGTGGACAGGTCCGAACTTGTGTGTATCCAAGGCAGCATCTGGGATCTTCTTGTACACGTTGGCCATAGTGTTGTGGTCTTTCTTCTTCTCTGCATAAACATCCAAGTCATCCTCATGTTCCTCAGGAGCATTTATAAGCTTGGCCCACTCATCAACCGTGGATTGGTACCTAGTACCCTCACACATACATACAATCTTCCCATCTGGATAGAAATGGGCAGTGGAGTAGAACTGCATGATCAGCTGATCATTCCACTTGGTGAGCTTTTATGCAACAAATTCATCAACTCCACATGCCTTAAAACTGTTATACACTCCAGGATAGTGATCTTCATTCTTCTGGATGTACTCCTAGTCTACCCATTTCATGTCACACACAATGGGCTTCTTGTCAAGCAACACTGTCTCATAGAAGTCCTGATGTTCCTTAGTGTGAAACCTATAGTCCACGGCAGTTCTTCTCCTGATAGCATATGGATCAGACTCTCTCCATATTCTCAATCCTGCATCCTTCCTGGTTTTCATGTTTTCTGCAACTGGATGTGCATCATTGTGGTCAGGGATCTTGGGTTTCAGATTCCTTAGCACTTGAGTTCCATCTTCTTCGGCAGCTTCAGGCACTGGGGCCTTATTCTTTTCCTCAGCAGAAATGTTTCTAGTGCTTCTCTTGGGCTTCTGAGCTGGAGCAGCTGCCTTGGAAGCGGCTTTGGGCTTAGATGGAGCAGCCCCTGATCTGATTGCATCTCCCATGAGCTTTTGAGCTTTGGGTGTTGGTGCAGCATCCTCTTCATCATCGTCTCTCATAATTGATGATCTGCCAAGCACTCTGGCAGTGGTCTTCTTGACCCTTTCCTTCCTTTTCCTGCCTTCTCCAACTGCCCCTTCAGAAGGCTTGGAGGCTTCAGCAGTGGATGCTTTGGCCTTGGACTCTCTTTGCTGGTGCCTTCTTATGCATCCCTGGCTTGACTGTAGCAGCTGAGCCGTACTCCTTTTTCAGCACCTTTTTCTTGGAGCTGACTTCTTCCTCAACAGCCGCATAATCCTCATCCTATGAATCTGAGGTCTTCTTCTTTCTTGTTCTGGTGGCTGCCTTTGGCAAGTTACTTGGTGTGCTCCTACTGCCATCATCAGATGAACTGGAGGGACTAGTGCCCTCACTCAGTTGAACCTGTTCCTCAGACTTGTTCTGGCTATCACTTTGGTCAGACATCGTGCAGGCAAACTATCAGCAGACCCTGTGAATGGATTATAGATGAGGTAGAGTAGATGAGCATCACAAAGTACATGAGTTTTGCAAAAATAATTGACTCAAAAACTTAGTTTTAGTTCTTCACAAAAAGCATTTCGGATCTATCGATTTGTAAACTCGGTGATACCGAAGCAGTTTTTGGAACCTAAACTAGTGAACTCGGTCAGACCGAGTCACAGTTCGGTGGCACCGAGACTGCTAGGGTTTCACAGAGAATTGAACTCACTCACACCGATTTGCAATTTGCGGTCAGACCGAAAACGCGTGTGCTCTGGCCTAAGCCAAAATCGGTGAGACCGATTTCTACAACTCGGTCGGTCCGAGATGAATTCGGCGGAGACCTAACCCTAAATTTTCAAATCAAAACTAGTCTACGGGATGTTTTCGCTGGACAGGATGATTTCATTCGTGGCAAGAATCATGGTAAAGCAATGTGCTAAGAATCGGAGTTAAGGATTAGCACAATGATCAAGTTTGTACCCTAGTTCGATGACGAACTTGCTACGGCGGCAACGGCGGTGAAGATTTCCGTTGACGGCGGCGGAGACCAGCGGCGGTAGGTCGCTGGCGATGAGAAGACGATCCGGAGACCCGAGGAGGCAGAGTAGGTTATGCGCGGGCGAGGAGGTTCGGAATTTTTTTCAAATTTTGGCCCATCCGTATATATAAACTGACCCTGTCGGTGTGACCGAGTGGGACGACTCGGTGGCAAGAATGCAACTATCCCTGGGTGGTTTTGGTAATTCCTAACAACATATAGCTCATTGAGCTAATACTATTCCAAGATGAATATTTCAGGAAAGCTCAATGGTTGGCATGGCATGAATTAGAGAGTGGACCCTTCAAAATGCTAAGGATAAAAGATTGGCTCAAACTCAAAGCACAAGACTCTACATTTTCTATTTTAGTGATCCAAGATCACATTGAGTCTATAGGAAAAGCCAATACTATTAAGGAGGGATGAGGTGTTGCTTAATGAGGTGCTTGCTCAAAATGCTTAGTGATATGCTCCAAAACCCTCCACTACTTTCTCATATCCACATATGTCCCACACCAAATATCCAACTCGGCCCCACCGATTATTTCTATCCGGCACCACCGAGTTCAGTTAACATAGCCACTGCCAGAAACCCTAGTATTTTCGGTCTCACCGATAGGGATCTCGGTCTCACCGAGATGGGATTGTAATCTCTCTGTTTCCCTTCGTAACGTTTCGGTCAAACCGAGATGAGCGACCGGTCCCACCGAGATTGCAATGTAAACTCTCTGTTTCTCTTTCGTAACACTTCGGTCCAACCGAGATGAGCGAATCGGTCCCACTGAGTTTACCTGACCAACTCTCTGTTAGTCCATTACCAAAATCGGTCTCACCGAGTTTGTGTAATCGGTCTCACCGAGATTACGTTATGCCCTAACCCTAACGAAATCGGTCCCACCGAGTTGACATGTCGGTCCCACCGAGAATCCCAGCATTCACATTTTGAACTAAATCGGTCTGACCGAGTTTCATGATCCGGTCCCACCGAGTTTGGTGATTTGTGTGTAAGGGTTAGATTTTGTGTGGAGGCTATAAATACCCCTCCACCCACTCTTCATTCGAGGAGAGAGCCATCAGAACATGCCTACACTTCCAATACATATTTTCTGAGAGAGAACCACCTACACTTGTGCTGAGGTCAAGATATTTCATTGCAACCACATAAATCTTGATCTCTAGCCTTCCCCAAGTTGCTTCCACTCAAATCTTCTTTCTACCAAATCCAATCCTATGAGAGAGAGAGTTGAGTGTTGGGGAGACTATCATTTGAAGCACAAGAGCAAGGAGTTCATCATCAACACACCATTTGTTACTTCTCGGAGAGTGGTGTCTCCTAGATTGGCTAGGTGTCACTTGGGAGTCTTCGACAAGATTGTGGAGTTGAACCAAGGAGTTTGTAAGGGCAAGGAGATCGCCTACTTCGTGAAGATCTACCCTAGTGAGGCAAGTCCTTCATGGGTGACGACCATGGTGGGATAGACAAGGTTGCTTCTTCGTGGACCCTTCGCTGGTGAAGCCCTCCGTGGACTCGCGCAATCGTTACCCTTCGTGGGTTGAAGTCTCCATCAACGTGAATGTACAATAGCACCACCTATCGGAACCACGCCAAAAATCTCCGTGTCAACATTGTGTTTGCTCCCTCAAACTCCTCCCTTTACCTTCATATGCAATTGTTTTACATTCCGCTGCTCATATACTCTTTGTATGCTTGCATGCTTGCTTGGTATGTATTGTGAATGTTTAAACTTGTGCTAATACTCCATATGAACCTAAAGAATTAAAAACTGCAACTTTTCTTGATTAAAGTCTATTCAACCCCCTCCCCCCCTCTAGACACCTCTTCTCGATCCTTTCAGCAAGTCATCGGCACCCGTGTCAAACAAAAAACGTGCTGGAGGTCGGAGGGCAGCACCAGCTGTGTATGTCTCTTCTGCAGAAAATAACCTTAATAAAGCAAGAAAAATAAAGGTTTCTGCTGAATAAAGCGCCACAGTGCATTTGTGCCATGCTTTTCACAATCCTTCAAAACTTTTCTAATAAATCCTATAGTTTTCTCCGTTCAGTTTTCTTTTTCTGAAACCCCCAAGTGTGCCATGCTCCCTCCCTCCCTCTCTCTACATCTTCCGCAACCCCGGAGTGCATATGTCGAATTTCTTGAGCTATAAATAAAGATCATTAAGTCTTTATTTCTCCTTTTGCCAGAAACATGAGTATGCACGCTTTACACGCTCACATATTTTTCCCAGAGACACGAGTGAATTCGCATATCCATATGTTTTGGGGAAGGGAGACGGCTTTTGCCTCAGTTGCTGCAAGAATTAGACCATTTCCTTGCGTTTCTGGCTTTCTGCACAAATCAGGCAGAAATTCAGTTTTACCAAGAAAGTATCAATGGCTCAACTATCGACGTTGCTGAGCTCAGGAATTCCCATATGCTCCCAGAGAGCAGAAACCCTTCGTTTCAAAGGGTGGAGGGCACACAGAGTGTACTTCCCCAGGACTGCAAATGTCCAAGTGCAAAGAATTACTACGAAAACCTTGTGGTTTTCCAGGATTACAAGTTTTACAGCACAAACTACAAGCTCTTTTCGCGTTTGCTTCCTGTCGTAGCTTGTCTAGTGTGGATGCTTAGGTTTTCATTAATGAAAATCGGAAGGGGGAAGCCCTTCTTTTATCAAAAAAAAACTACAGGCTCTACAAAAAGGTCGTAGTATAATTTGCCCCGGATTCGATGCTCTCCTTCAGCCCCATTCGATGAGAGGACAAATAGGTTTAGTTTTTTACATAGTATTACAGTGGTTAGTGGTTGTATTTAGTTGTATAATCTACTTATGCACCATTGGAATGCACCTCATCTGAAGCTCGGCCGAGATTTTTGTGGCATTGCTGTTAACTACCACAAGCTTCAGGTTCTTGCCTCTAGAGAGCTCTCGATTTCCGCACTTCGAATCAGTGGGGTGCTTCTGCTCGTCGAGGTCCATGGCCTCAGGATTGCTCGGGGCTCTCGGAAACAAAACCGGATTCTTCTGCGAGGACTGAGAGTTCCTGGTCGCCGCTCAGGAGCTGAGTGGAAGGAAGGTACATAGTCAGTTCGTGAACACATAGGAAGCATAGTGCTTTCATCATCTTAGGAAGCATGGGCAAGCCATGACGTAGTGTAGTGACCGACAACATCATATGTGGAAAACTAAAGCTAGATGCGTGCAACTGCGAAGTAAAACAGAGGATGTCATCTGAGGATAAGCTGCAGATTCAGTGTGTGCCCAATACTGGCAGAAATGCACATGTGCACCGAGAACTTAAATCGTGCCTCAACATAAAACGCTGAATGGGTGTCATCATGAACTTGAACTTTAATGGAAACATCCAAGTTATGGGGAGTACCTTCCCGTTGATGACCCATGTTGGAAAACCTTCCAGACCAGTGGCTACACATTCGTTGGCCATTTTCTTCCCCTTACCGGCTCCATTAGGGAAGCATTCCACATAATCCAGAATTTCCATAGCTTCACGACCAAACAACTGCATGACCATATATGCTAAGAATTATAAAGTAGGTCTTGATTGATTTTGCTCTACTTCATTTTTGGAGATCTAGCACAGCAACAATCAGGTCCTGTGGTAGTAACTATTAAAAGCTGTTGATTCAAGGAAGATGAAAGAACTCGTACTTGTTTTTGGTCATTGCAGTGAGTACACCAGAATGCTCCATACATCTTAGCACCTATAGAATGTAGATGTCTTGCCAGTGAAATAGCAAAAGGGGTTGATTCTGATGTTACCTCTGTTTTGTATGGTTCTAATACGAAATCACCTGTGCTGCATAAAATGAAGGAAAAAGGAAAGTCTATTAGTCACTTATGATGATCTTAAAGGAAACGAACTATGTAGACTAAAATTCACATTGACCTCAAATCAAAATGGCTGGTTCCTAAGTAAAAAAGGAAAAGTAAAATGGTTGTCCGGAAGAGAAAATCACTATGGGATATGAAACATACAACCATAATAGAGAGTAAAATGTAACGTTTTGCTGCACGTTCGATGAAACTTCAAGTAAATGGCAAAAAAAGACGCCTTATAATTTGTATTTCCGCTGAGGCAATCCCATCATTCAACGTTTATAACCAATGTGAGAGGAAGTCTCACCCCTTTAACTGAGTAGTAGCTGAACTATATGAGTTTGTTAAAGCAAGAGCAACAATGACAGCTACAGCTAACTGAAGACCAACAAACTTCTGGATACGTGCCAAGCCAATGTCCTGCAACAATTCCGTGGAGCACAAGGTTAGTTGGATGGGCTACTTGATTATCAAAAGGTCTAAATGAAGAAGAGGAACACACTGATATGTTTAAGAAAAGCACACACCTTTAGTCTGATGAAAAATAATGTGAAGGAGATAAATGCTGATGATAGGCAGTATAAGCAAGACGTCCCGACAAATTTGGTGTTCAGGATGAAAAGAAAATAAGCGCTCGCAGTCGCCAGTGAAGTAGCAAGCAGAAGCAAGGTTAGGCGGATATCCAAGTCATCAAGTCCAGGGAGTAACTCCTCTCCGTTTTCTTGCAGAGAAAGTGCAGTCACCACACCATATGTCACCATACCAACTAATGGAAGAGGGATCCCTACAGAATTAAGACAGACCAATTGTTACCTATGAGCATCCATAGCACTGTATTATGTGAAAGTGTATCTTAGCACACACACCACGGCAGAATGATAAAAGGGAAATTCATACATAGTTGTATAAATTCTGAATCTGCAACCATGCGCAACATTTGAAATATAATGGGCACCGGATCTCGAATGTCGCTAAGTTATCAACATACAATCCTACCTACATACTGACAATGCAAGCATAATGCAAGCAGTACAATTTTCAGAACTAGCCCTCAATCCCATGAGCAGTGGGGCTGTGGGCGAGGAAATTACCGAAGACGACGGAGTAGTCGCTGTCGAGCACGTCGCCGCAGCCTCCCCCGGAGACGGGGCAGAAGGCCTCGGAGCCCGTGAGCTTGAGGTAGCTGAGGTAGCCGGTCTCCAGGAGCCCCAGCCCCGCGACGCCCGCGGTCCAGGCGCTCGTGGAGACGCCCCACAGGGACGAAGGCAATTCCGGCGGGGAGGGCAGCGGCGCGGGGGTCTCCTGCTGCTGCGGGGAAGGAGGCTCGGCGCAGCACCTGAACCGCGCGGCTCTCTGCGTGGACCACGGAATCAGAGGACGCGGCGAGGGCGCTCGAAAGTGCGGCTGGTGGGTGTGTCTATACCTTGACGCGCGGCGGGGAGGAGGAAGTGGCGGTGGAGACGGCGCGGCGGGCAGCGGGCGGGAGGAGGGAGACGGAGAGAGCTGCCGAGATGGTCGCCATGGCCGGAGACGGAGGTGAGTGGTGAGAGCTCGCCTGACCTCTCAGCTCTCACGACTGTTCTGTGGGCCACACTTCTCAGCTGAGCTTGCTTACTGGACCTTGCATTTGATCCATACACTAATGGAAAGAAGGCTGGGCCCATCAAATAACACTGTTTTTTTTCTTTTAAATTTCCATTTCAACCTTGCTATGGGATGATGGCGGGAATTCTCACTGCAGAAGAAAATACTGAAATCCAGAGAACAAGAAAGTGGGAGAATAATCCAACCATGGTGGAGAAAAGACATTCTCCCATGCATGATATATACCTTGCATCTATCAGCCACTCACTCTCTTTAAGATTCGGATCCATGCATGCATGTTCTCATTGTACTGTTTAGTAAACCACAATTTATGACCCTGTCAACCTGTCACTTTTTCTCCATGTGCAGACAACTTTTTCCTATAGTAACCTGCAATATCTCTCCTCTCACCCCCGAAGTAAATACCAACAGTACTACACTCACTCATGCCTTATTTTTATATGAGAGTATGATTCTAAAATTTAAATTTATTTTATCTTTTGAACCATTAGTTTGATTTACGATACATTTGCTTATTTGTGTTCCTTTTGAAGGGAACTTGAAAATAAGATCACCGTTGAATATATTTTGACAAGTTTTAAAATTCGAATCTGAAACATGGCGAGACCTTACGAAACTGTAAAAAAAACTATGTACCAAGTTTCATCAAGTTTTCTATAGATCAATTTGATGAGCACAAAAACTCATGGTACATAGATAAGTTTTCTACAAGTCTTGTTTAAAATATATCATTGGTATGAAAACATTTGTCTAAATAGAATATAAAAGAAACTTTTATTTCAGAAGATATCAAGGGGATAGGGGAGAAGAATATAAAAAAAAACTTATTGCATGCATGTTCTCATCTAAACAGTTACATAGAAGAGTCGCAAGGGG